TCATTTCTCCAAGTTACTGATGCTGCTAGGTGCTGTCATTTCTTGGGGCTCAGACCAGGGGGCCTCTGAGCCTCTTCGACTGTGGAAGAGGTCTGGAGGTGGCTGTTTCGTGCCTGGGGCCTTGTGGGGCCCTGATACTCCAGGAGGCAGACTGTTTTCTGGGTGCTAATAGGCAATGAAGCTGGTCTGACTTCTGTGAAATCAGGCATGAAGAAGACACTAATGCTGATGCTTACATTCTGGGAGAATGAAATAGTCTCTGAAGGAAACCAGAATATGCTTCCTTGACATAAAAATTATTTACAGCTGAAGGCAATTTTTTGCCTAAAGGCAGGAATTAAACTCTTTCATTGGAGACAGATTCTCATCAGCCCAGAGAAGGTGCTAGAAGACTCTGAGGACCAATCTTGTTAAACTCACCCTTATATTCCTAGTTAAGGCAGATAAGGACTACTTATTTCCAGAGGGACTAGCCCTAGCCCAGACCTTTGTCTTATCAATTATTCAAAAATGTATTGCTTCTTTGTCAAAACAGTATGAAAGCTTCCTGCTCTGGCCATTTTTTCAGATGATTCTCTTACAAAGACTCCCACCTCTGTGTAAAAAGTCATTATAATTTGTGTGCTTTTCTCCTGTTAATCTGTCTTTATCAGTTTAATTTTCAGACCCAGCCATGAGCCAAAGGGGTGTGCCAAGCTCAGTCCTGTAGGGCCTCACAGGCTGAGAGCCCACTGGAGCTGCTCAGTCTCCCATGTACACAGCAGTGCTGGAAAGGGTGATCGGCAAGTTCCCTTTAGCCCAATACTTGGTTTTACGTAATGGGTGGTCTCAGGATCTGGCCTCCACACAGGCCAAGTGCATGTCCCCAAGCCCAGGGAATGCTGTATCCACCACATGGCAACTCAAAGTGCACACTCACACTCAGGGGGTGTCTAGGGGTGTCTGCATTTCTACAGAGATCTATGGCTGTGCAGTGTCCCACGGAAACAGGTGGAGATGGGCAGCTGGGAGGGGGTACAGAGTTCTACCAGCCAAGTGTTTGCATCTCCAAATAGGCATGCAGTCAGCCCACAGGACTGCCTGCATCACCAGGCAGGGGGCTTCCTGCCTCTCCTTCCCCAGTCTACTCCAAGGTTCAGGCTCCCTTTGCAGGCTGACCTTGATTTTACCTTGTTCTCCAGGGCCCTTTGCCCAGGGTCTCACAATACCTCCCTGGAAAGGAGCCCTAAAGCCAGATTGGATGAGAAAGGGGTGCTGTTAAGAAGGCCCCCGAAAGCAAGCCTCAACCAACATCAGTGCTCAGGGATGTGATCAGGACAGAGGAGCAACCACATGCTTGACAGTTCACAAAAGGTTTTCACATCCTGTATCTAATTTCAGCTTTCCACCAGGCGGGACGGTCAGGCTGTATCATTATTTACATTTTACCAGTGAAAAAAAGTCCATCCATTCAGTCAGTCAGCAAACATTTATCAAGCATCTGTTTATTCAAGATGCAATGCCAGGCTCAGTGAATCCAGAAAAAGTTACATACCATGCTTGTCTTCAGTAGCTCATGGTTGAGCCACGTTCTTCATTGTTTCCTAAAGGCAGACGGCTGCTCTCATAGATGAAGATGAGTGCTTGTGGACTTCTGTGAAAAATAACATCTAAATGTAGGTGTAACAGAGTAGTAAAAACTTTCTAGATCCTTTCAAATGATTAATTCTGCTGTTGGGAAGGAAAAATTTCCCTTTGCTTTTCAAGGTTCTTTTAGCTGGTCTGCAAATTAAATTAACATGAGACATATTAACAGGAGAAAATTAAATTTAATTACATACATATGAGGGCTCCATGAGAGTCTGAGGCCCAAAGGCTGTCTGGCAGTTGAGACGTATACACCATCCAGAGCCAAGAAGATGAGGGTAGGGGTCTGGCACTTCAAAGGGAGGGAAGGTAATTCACAGGAAGATGAAAAAGAGTAAATGCTTGGTAAATGTTTGCTGGACCATACAGAAACATACAGAGAGGAATTTTAAGAAACAGACTTTACTAGGTTCCTCCCTGTCTACCAAACCTAGTGTATATTATACTGTAGTTATCTATGGTGATAGTGCCCTCCCTGTAACAGGTCCTCTATCTAAATTCTTTTAGGCAGTTAGGGGGAAGGCAGAAAAGAAAACTTCTGGGGTCTTTTTAAAAATAATTAGCCTAAAATAATCCACATGCTAAAGAGACATATTTTGGGGTGGTGCACTTTGCTCTCCTACATTGCAAAAGGATTTCCTCTTTTAGGAATAGTTCATGATCTCCTTATAGAGATGTGGGTTTTCCTATTCATAATCAGTACCCACAAAACCACTTGAAAACTGCCCAAGAATGTCTGATGTCACCACATGTAAAAAATGAATTAGAGATGAGACTAGCAGAGAGAACTGGCAAGACATATCTTCAAGTCTTTTTGAGACATGAATTCACTGTAAATATTAAGAATCTGAAAAAAAATTCAATGTATCAATTAGAGATAAAATTCTGTTGCATTCAAATAAATTCTTAATGATGGACTCAGTTAACCACATTTTATTCTGTGAATTCCTGCATGGAGGTTACACCTGTGCCTAGCACCATGCAGCAACATGTGTCTGATTTAGTAATTAAAGGAAACTTAGGCCTGCAGAGGGCCAGCCAGTAAATATTTTAGGCTTGTTGGCTGTATAATTTCTGTTGCAACTATTTAACTCTGCTGTTGTATGTTGCAAAAGCTGCCATAGACAGCACATAACAAGTAAATGTGTCTGTGTTTCAATAGAACTTTATTCACAAAAAATAGTAGTGGGCCAGGTTTGCCAACTCTTGCTTTAGACTAAAGTTTTCTCAAGCCATGTCACATTATCTCTTTTGAGTCCTGAGAGTACACACAGTATGTGTCATCTTCATTTTACCAGCAAGGAAATGACATCTGAGAGGATAAAGGGTCTGCCCACAGTCACAGGGTAAAAGGGGGCAAACCTAGCCACCTCCTGGGTTTTCTAATTCCAAATCTATTGCTCACGACCACTCCACTGCCTATATGTAACACAAAAGAAGTACAGTCCCTGCCCAAGATAAACCAGGCAGGGCTGACAGTCCTGTTCTTTTGTTCCAACTGCCAAGAGCATGGAATTAATCATTTTCAATCTGATGCGTTTTATCATGCAGACAGAGCCTTTGTATGAGGAGCCTAGGCTTCTTTTCCCCTTTTACCTCAGACAACTTAGTGGGTTGTGGCAAGATGCCAAAGTTCTCTGGAAATCAATCATCCCCTAGGAGGATTCTGCAAGTCTGTAGCGCCTGTGAGCAAGGATGCACTTCTTTTTTCTCTTGGTTCCTTTCCAGACCTCTGCCTGTACCCTGGTAGGTGGCTCAGGGGCCAGAGGTATATGTCCAGCCTGGGCATGGGGTCTTGCATATAGTAGTGCTCAGTAAACATCTGAATGAACTGCACATCCGGGCAGGGACTCAAGGTACAGGACAGACTTGGGTGTCTTACCAGGTGATGCTCCGCAATGCTTATCAGCCAGTTAGCACCCAAAGGCCTCCTCTGGACCCTGAGCACCAGGGATATCCCCCATCCCTTGCACCTAACAGCTCTAGAGAAGACAAGCTTAGCCAATATGGAAAAAGTGGAGAGTGAGGTTCTGATTTTCTGTTTGCTGAGTACAAATGAATGCGGACGTGAGGATCATGGCAGAGGAGCCTAGCACCCTCTAGAGGCACAGGTCGCATGCCTTCAGGCTGCTCACTCTGAAGCCTTGCACCCTGGGTAGCTTTTTCCTATTGGTGTGCCTAGTCTTATTTCGTGGCCTGCTGATCACTTACAATAGTTAAAGTGAATTTCTAAACATAACTAAGACCCATCTGGCCCTTTTCAGAGAGCTGTGGCAATCTGGGAATGAGCCATTTCATCCACAGCTTGTAACTCACATATAGAAGATGTGCAAGAACTGCCAACTGCCCGCTAAGAACAGCGCTCCACACACCAATTGCTCATCTTTAAATAACTATTCCTAAGGCACCTTAAGGAGTGTCTGGATCCAGATGTGGTGTACTTGTTCAACGAAGTCATCACCATCCAGACTCCTAGTATGTAGCTTTTTCTTAATGGTCCCAACATAGCTGCTCCATCTCCAGGCGTCACATCTGCTTTCCAGACAGAGGAAAGGGGGAAAGTCAAAAGCAGTTCCAACCTTTTTTTGACAGAACCTGTAATTTTTACTGGGAAAGTCACAGCTAGTAGACTTTTACCTTCACCTTAGTGGCTGGCTATACATTGTGTGGCCAACTTGTCCTGTAAGAAGCACCAGGAAACCAAGTTTTGCAGCTAGGTGATCAAAACTGGGATTCTATTAATAAGAAAAAGGGGTGAATGGGTAGTTACAGGTGACTGTTAGTATTTTCCACAATATATGTGTGATTTTTTTTTAACATTACTAAAAATGTCGTCAAGGAAGGAGTTAGTTTTGAAGAGAATGTAGGAAGAAAGCTAGAGATACGGGGAGACAGAGGAAGACATGAGCTGGAGGAAGGGCATGTGGGAGCATGGAGGTGGCAGCAGGCAGGCCCTGCAGGGTGACAGAAGGGGAAGCTACTGCTCCCTCCTGGTCTGGCACATGGACCCTCGAGCCCAGTGAACTGAGCTTCAGCTTCCTGCTTCTCCCTCCCTGCCTCCCCACTAAGCAGAAATGGCTTTGTGACATTGATGCAGCCAGGGGCCCAGGACCTAGCCCCGAGGCTAGAGAGAGCCCTCCTTTCACTCAGGCCTTCACTGTGGGGGCCTTAGGCGCTGGAGTGGATGCTCAGGGCCCCCCACTCCTGGGCTAAGAACCAATCAGGTGTTACAACCTTCTTCTCACGTTCTTCCCATTTTCCTCCTCTCTGTGGGGTGGCAAAGCATAAACAGAGTAAACCAGTGTCAGCCCTCCATTTCAGGAGCAACAGACGCCATCCAGGAAGGCCCCTGGGGCCCGTGTCCACACCTTGCCATGTCTCTGTGGCCATCTTTCCGAGGCAGATGGAAGCTGGGGTGGAAGGACTCAATGTGAGGTCTGTGGCTCCCCAGACAGGACAAGGAGACCCTGTGGGAAAGGTGAGTAAGGGATGGCTGCCTCTTTGGAGACAAGAGTTTCCAGGCCACCCTGCAGCTCCGCTGGCGGTGGGCCCCTGCTGCGGAAGCTGCCGCCTGGCCTGCAGTGAGGAGGCCTCCATTCAGGGCCCAGGGAGGAGACCTCCCAACACCACACATGCAGTGTGCCAACCCAGGCCTGCCTTCCAATGGCTCCGCCTCTCAGATACCAGGTCTTACTCACTGCCATCGGACCCTGTGTGAAGGGACCTGGGTGAGTCTCCACATTCTCGATTTTCATTTGGAGAAAACGAGGGCTGATCCTCAGAGGGGTCTAAGATGCAGCTCATCCTCAGGCCCTGCCTGGAAACACACAGAGCAGCTGCAGCCAAAAATATATCAAGGGGCTGCCTAGCTTCATCTGCAATGTCAAGGCAACTGGAGTCATGGCCAATTCCATCTGCCAGAGAGGCAAATTTTAATGTGTCTTTACCACCCGACCCCCAAATCAGTCTCATGAAACATGTAAATTAAGAAGCTATTAATCACTTTATAAAAGTATTCTTTGCTTCACAAAACACACCCACAATTCTTCTAAAAGGCAACTTAATATGTCCTAATGCAATCCAGCTCCCCCAGAGTGCCAGAGTGGGCCCACACGTTAGATTCCTGGAACACAGCAAGTAAACAAAGTGGCATCTGACCTGGGCCATAAATCCTCTGCCTTCCTATCCCCTATGCAGCCATCACTATCGAAGCCTGCAGCCTCAGACTTGTGTCCCTACTGTGTGTAAAACTCCCAAGGGGGCCTCCGAAGGTAGATGGCAGCCAAGGTTCTACTTCTCACAGAAACACTTGGGAGCTGCTGACACAGAGTCTGTCGCACACCCAGCCTTGGGGGAACTGTGCCCGTGCAAAAGCAAGGGGGTTTAGTGCTTGCCGTGGAGCAGAGACCACCTGGCTTACTACTTCCACCCCAGCGCACATCTCAGCAGGAAAGCCCGAGAGTCCATCGCATTGGGAGATGGAGCTGGGGCAAGGAAGGAAGAGCAGGGAAAGAATAAGGACAGTGGAAGGGGGTCGAGGAGAAATGAGAAAACCCTCTAAAAGAGGTGCTTCTATTTTTACCAGAAACTCCAAGAAAAGCAATTATGGTACAAGTGCTGTTTCTCAATATCTTCGCAGAGCTCTCCAGGCCTCTGACGTACATGGGCTACAAGAAGGAATGAGAAAAACTACAGACAGAATCTGTATGCCAGATTTTCTGGGATAGCCTTGATTTCACATATATTCTGTATCTATGTCCCCTTAAGTCCAGTTTTGGGGTGGGTATGAGGAACTGTGTTCACTGTAGCTCCGGGAGCTTCTCGGTCAGGACAGTTTGGTCCCTGCAGGAGCTGCACAGCAATCCGCAGTTCTATTCTGGCAAGGCCAAAAGGCTGGGTCTGTGCCTGAGAGTGGTAGGTAAGCCTGCACATCCCCTGGGGATACACACCCGGCACCTATGAGCCTGGCCCAGCAAAGGCAGAGTGGGGTGGGAAGGGGAATCGAGAAAGCCCAACAGGCGAATAGCTCCCCTGAACACCTTGACGTGCTGTTTCCTTTTCTGGGAAAATGGTAACAACTGGTCTTCTGAGGATGTGTGGGGCCACCAACCCTAGCCTGATGATAATCCTTTTACCAGTTCACAGGTCTGTGTTTCATCTTGGGAAAACATGCTCATCTACTTTACTAGTGTAATGAGTCCTTTCTGGCACGCCAATCACTAAATGCCTCAGGGCAGAGTCCAAGCAGGCCTATCCTCGACTCAGCTTTCTCTTTGGGGAAAACCCTTGGCCACACAGGAGGCACAAGTGTCATCATGCTCGTTGCACAGACAGGGCAATGGAGTCTAGGAGGGCTGAGGTCTTCCCAGAAGAACCTGTATCAGTACAGAGGCAGGACTCTGACAAGCTTGGATGTGTTTGGGTCCAAGTTCCTGAGGAAGGGGCACTTGGGAGCTAAAAGCTAGCCTAGGAATAGGGCTCAGTTCTCGTTGTTAAGTTTGAAAACCAGTCAATGTTCCCCATCACCACTCCCGTCACTCTGCTCACTCACCATCTTTCTCCCCAGTATGTAATTCCCTTCTCCTTTCCTAGCTACCAGCTGGAGAGGGTAGCAACTGGTGCCAGGCGTTTCTTGCATGCAGTAAGTCCTCAGTGAGTTCACGCAGATGTTTGTTGACTGTGCACGCATGTGCAGTACATCCATGCAGAAACTGTGTGCTCTCTGGCTCAGGTGGCTGCTGGTTTTTGGTTGCTTTGCAAGCTTTGACTTTGCACCAGGTCATCCTGAGCTGAATGGTGCCCCTTACTCAGAGTTTCACTGAGAAATCTGCTGGCATTTTCTGGTTCTGTGCGGGTATCCTCCTGTTGCCCCAGCCTGGAGGAGGCCCTGGGAAAGAAAGTTCTTGGAAGATTCGTTCTTTGCCTGCAGGGCTGAGCATCTTCGTGGCAGCCTTCACTCACCAGTGAGCACCCTCTCCTTCCAGTTCTTCCATTTGGAAAGTGGGTTCCCATGGTGATAGATGACCGATTGCCTGTCAGTCAGGCTGGCCAGCTGGTCTTTGTCTCCTCCACCTACAAGAACGTACTCTGGGGAGCTCTTCTGGAAAAGGCCTATGCTAAGTAAGATAAACACTCAAAATCTTTCCCTTCCCATCCCCACTCTGTCTCTCTGTCTCATCAGTGTTAAGGGAGGGCATGAGGAGGCAGGCATATTTTATGAAGTGAGACACTGAAGCATGACCCAGTGAATGAAGAAGTGACATATCCACAGACTCTTACGTAGAGGTCCCCCCATCTGAACAAGCATTGCCTCCCCCAATGGATGGAGTCATTTAATGGGGATAGAAACTCTGCATATATATTTTCTCCTTTGTCCCTGGGATGAGAGAAAGGAGCAGCAGACACATGTCAGAGAGTAACCAAGTAGGAGGTTCTCTAGACTCACGGGACCTGCCCAGGCTGCAGAATAAATGTCCCCTCCCCGGCCCTCCCATGTTTGCTCCTTCCTTGGGTGGGCTTGGACACAGAGGAATACAGATGGTGTACAGAGAGGGCGCTAACAGCGATTTGGGGTCCACCACATGCAGGGCACTCTATCAGCACAGCTGGTCTTCACTGTCTAATTTATCAACAACCAACAACACAGAACTAGAGTAGGAAGCCCTGGTTTCAGCCCTGCCTCCACTAACGACCACCGTGTCACCTCACACGACGAATTAGCAGCTCTGAGTCTGAGTCTGTCTTCTGTAAAGTGAGGGGATGTGGGGGCAATTACTGCAGAATGGCACCCTGACTCAAAGCCTTGAATGAGACTGTGGGTGCTGAAAATTTCTGACAATTGTAGGGAAATGGTGAGGGTCTCTCCTACCCATCCCCCATAAACCTTGCTCCAGCCAAACAGGTCCCCATGACTCCTGAATAGGCCATACATGCAGAGGACTGGCAGGAACTCTCTTGTCTCTGCAGAAGGAGAAGGTGCTGGAGAATGGGCTGGTAAACAGCCATACCTACATGCTCACAGGAATCAGGAAGGTGGGTGGAATTGGCCCCTCTGTTTGCTTTCAGCCTCTTCTCTCTCTACCAGGGTTTCTCACCAGGCCTTGCTCATCTTGGTGAATGTTATTATCTGTGTCTGGTTGAGGAGGTAAATTCTCTGGTGGGTCTTCCAGAGCCTGCCAAAGAAGGTGGTGGCTCCCTTTACCTCTGTATCTGTTTTCTGGGGTGAAGTGGTGGGTCCAATCTCTGCCACCTCTAGTGCACCATTCCCAGCTCACCTGTGCAGCCTCAGCCAGTAGGCCATCTAGCCCAGCTATGTCTCACGACCCTTTCTGGAGCCCCACGTCACCCTGAGCTGTTGCTGATGTCCTTTATGTCTGCGTCTTCCCTCCCAGATGTGTTTCATTCTCACATGCTCCTATTCAACAACCTCCCAGTTTCCTTCCATTGCTATACATCTTCTGAGCTCTAATAGGCATTAAGAGAAACTAAATCAGACAGGGACCTTGCCTACAATGCGCTTATAGTCAAATGTGGAGACAAACATATTTAAAGCAATAAGGAAGCAAAGTAGAAACTGAGAGAAGAAAGCATAGGTGAAAGGCTTCAGGTTCAGAGGTAAGAGAGAAGACATTCCTCTGCTTGGATTGGAGGGAAGTCAGAAAAGGCTTTATGGAGGAGGTAACATTGAGTTGGCCCTGAAAGAAGGATAGGTTTGGGTGAGGGCAGAAGGACATTACTGGTGGAGGGAACAGCATGTGAAAAGCATGGGGATAAGAAATCGGCAGGGTCAATCTTAAAGAACTTCTGATATTCTCTAGAGAGGCTGACTTCTCCAAAGTCTTCCAATTCCCTTTAACTCTGTTTCAAATGTCTTGACTTCAACTCACCCTTGACTTCTTCCTCCTAGAGCTCCATCAATCATGCTTGTGTGTGTGCCAAGAACTTTTAATTTAACAAATTTATATTTTGTTAATATTTATATGTCTCTATTTATATTTTCAGTATTTATTTAACAAAATTTAGTGCTTAGTGCTGTGTACTGTCCTAACTGCTGTACAAATGTTAACTCAATCTTCATAACAATTATGTGAGCAGGTGTATGTGCCTTTGGGCTGCCATAACAAAACACAACAGCAGACATTTATTCTTTCACAGTTCTGAAGGACAGAAGTCTGAAATCAAGGCGTCATGAGGGCCTCTGCACACTTGCCGCATGGACACATGTCTGAGGCTCTAGGGGAGAATCCTCCCTTGTGTCTTCCAGCTGTGGTGGTCCCAGCATCCTTCAGGTACAGAGCTCCAGTCTTTGTCTCCAACTTTACATGGCCTTCTTCTCTGTCTTTTCCCTTTCTTTTCTCTTCTCTTCTCATTGGATTTAGGATCCATCCTAATCCAGGGTGATTTCATATCTAGATCCTTAACTTAATTACATCTGCAAAGACCCTTTTTTACAAATAGGATCACATTGACAGGTTCTGCATTGACGTTGTATTTGCAGGGGGAGGGGGAGGGACACCATTCAACCCTTTACAGTACTGTGACTATCAGTTTTATTTTACAGATGAAGAAACAGATACAGAGAGGTTAAGTAACTTTCCCTAGGTCTCACAACTAGTAAATAGCAGAGCCATTTTCTCCTCTACTAGTTCTCAGGACCTTTACTCTTCCATTTCAAGGTCTCCTCTGCAGGCATGAATCTCACTCAGATATCTGCAACATTTGCACTTGACACTCAGCCCAGCCACCTAAACTGCTTCTCATTCTGTGCAGGTGACCTGCAACCATGGACTTGAATATCTAGTCAAGCTGCAGAATCCCTGGGGCAAAGCAGAATAGAAAGGAGACTGGAGTGACAGGTACTTCTGAGACAGGCTGGCAGGATGAGGAAGTGGGGTGGGTGAGGCCTGCAGAGAAGGTGGCCATCTGCACATAAATTCAAAGATTTTCTTTCTTTGGCTCTCGGATGGACCAGGAAAGCTTTCAGATTGTGAAGGTGAATCTGTCACATTTATGAGGTGTTTAATGATATATACATTGTTTTCTCATTCATTGTAATAATTAAAGCCCATGTTTATTAAGAACTTGCCAGCGATGTGCTAAGCCCTTTGAATTTTTATCATCTCATTTGAACATGTTATTATAAGGTAGGTAGTTTCATCCCCATTTTAATGATGAAGAAACTGATGCTTAAGTGAATTCCTTGAGGTCGCACAGCATGACTCAACCAAGGTCTTTGAGGTCCAGTCCAGTGTTTTTCCCCAGCTCTGTGTATTCTTGGGCTTGTTGAGTCAAAAGTAGACAGATCCTAACTGGCTCCTATGTTCTGGTTTATATTTAGTGACCCCTGGATACTTGGTCCTGGAGATGATCAGGGGGTAAGCCTAGCCTAGCCTAGCCTTAGCCTGAATTTGAGAACTAAATGCATGGACTAGGCCTAGCCTAGCCTAGCCTAGCCTTAGCCTGAATTTGAGAACTAAATGCATGGACTAGGCCTAACCTAGCTTAGCCTAGCCTAGCCTTAGCCTGAACTTGAGAACTAAATGCATGGACTAGGCCTAGCCTAGCCTAGCACCTAAAGGCAACCATAGAAGGATGCAGGCTTTACAGGCTACAGCCTGGCTAAAGGGCAGGGGTGGAACGGGAGACCAAGTGTTAAAGTCCTTTTTCCTCTTGCTGTGGAGATCTATAATGTTTAAGCCTGTATAATACTTCAGAGTACACAGATGTATCCACATATACATCATCACTTCAGCACTTTTATAGATAAAAAAATGAAGGCTCTGAAAAATAAGTTGAATTTTACTCCTGATACAATGTGCTGCACTTTATTTATTATACATTAATAAAGAGAACTGTCTTTATTAATTCTGGAATTAATAGAAATCCAAAATAAGGGGCTTGGAACATAATTAATGGGAACAGAGTCTATGTGGTAAAATGGCATCCAAATATACATATATATATATAAAGTATATATAAATTTTAAAGTGTTATAAAAATATAGCATCATAATGGTGGTAGTGGTGGTTTCATAGAAGAACAAGTACTTGCATCAGAGATAGGTGATGGGTTAAATTCGTTTTGTTACCTGTGTGATCTTAAGCAAGTCTTCTTGACGTCTCTGAGCCAGAGGTGTGATGAGGATTAAATAAAATGATGGACTTTTATTTCACAGTGTCTAATCTGCTGTTAATCCCATCTGGCATCTTTTTCATTTGAGATATCTTATTTCCTAACTAGAGATTCCATTTAAGCATATCTTCCACTTCTCCCTCATTGTGTCCATAGTTCCCTTTACATGCTTGAGGATATGGAGTATATTTATAGTAGCCTTTTAAATGCCATTATCTGCTAGTTCCATCATCTCTTTAATTTCAAAGTCTGTTTCTACTGACTGTTTTTATTCCTGGTCATGAATCATACTTTCTGCTTCTTATGTCTAGTAGTTTCTTACTGGGTGGTGGACATTGTCAATTTAAGTTAATGACTGCTGAATTTCACTGTATTCCTTTAAAGAACATTGTTTTGTTTTGTTTTGTATTTTTTCTGGCAGGCGTTTAAGTTAGGGATTATTTTTGTACTTTGAAGTTTTGTTTTAAAGCATTTTTAGGACAGAACTAGAGACACCTTTATTTTAGGGATAATTTGGCCCCATTATTAAGGTATAGATCCTGTGGAATCCCCATGTATTCCGTAAGGTCTTTTAACTCTGGCTAGTGGGAATTAAAATAATTCCCAGTCCTCTGTCAGCTCTGGAATTGTTCTGGGTATAGTCTAATCTTGTGGGGTTTCACTTTATATATGCACAGATCTGGTTTTGGCCAAAGATGCAAGGGAACCCCTATGAAGTTCTCTGAATCTCCTTCTTATGTATCTCCCTCCTTCCAGGCACTCTCCCCAGAAAATTCTAGCTGTTTTGGCCTCTTGAACTCTGGACTCTGTCTCCTCCACCCAGGAAGATGGCCAGGTTTTTGTTGGGTTCCACTTCCCTGTGTCACTGTCCAGGGAATTAGTTTTAGATAGTAGTGTGGGCAATGTTAGGATGCACTTCATTTATTTCCTTTCTCTTGGGACCATTCCTGTGCTGCCTGCTGTCTAATATCTGAAAACTGTTGTTTCTTATATTTTGACACATTTTGAGTTGTTTATGGTAGGGAAGTGATACAGGAAAACCTTGTTCCCTAACTGCCAAAAATTAAAGTCCAAATTCTGGGGCTTGGAACATAAGCAATACCAATGTAGGTTCAAATGCTAGTTCTGATGTTGAATGGCTTTGTGAGGTCAGGGAAGTGACTTCATCTCTTTTTTTTAATATTATTAAAGTACCATTGATACACAATCTTATGATGGTTTCACATGCACAACATAGTGGTTCAACATTCACCCATATCATCAAGTCCTCAGCCCTTCCATTATGGTCAACTTAATCTCTTTTACCTCAGTTTCCTAATCTCTAAAATATCAATAAAAACCCCCACCTTGCAAAGTTGTTGTTAGCCTTTTATGAGGTAGTATATGTACATCAAGAGCCTAGTCCAAAGCTTGGTTCATAGTGAGTAATGAATTCATGTTACAAGTTGCTTTTATAATACAGGATGTGAGATATCTTGTCTGAAAAGCAGCATAAAAATAAGAATAAATAATGACACTATAGACCATTTACTAAAAAAAATTCTCTCATGTCCTCTATTATCCTCCTTATTCCTCCTGAAAACATCTCTTTTCTGTTTCAGCTCAAGTGCCTGGAAGCTACTGAGCCTCAATGAGAAGATAATGCTGCTGAGAAAAAATAATGTTGGAAAGTTCTAGTATTTGATTCAGGGACTTGGGACAAATGACCTGGCTTACATCTAGACATCCACCCACCAACTGTTTATTGGTTACCTCGTGTATGTTAGGCACCACTTATCCAGAGATCAAGAGGATCTCTTTAGGGGCTCCCAATCTGTCAGGGCACAGGCCCTGCAAACACACAGCCACGGTTTCTGAGGTGAAAAGTGACCTCTGGCAGGAAGCTCAGCAGACGCTCAAGCAGAGTGTAGGGGTAGCTGCCGCTCCTCTCTGACTTCCACTTCGTCTCTGTGTCACTCAGTACACTCAGTTCCAAGGCCTTCCTGTGCCCTCCAGAGAAAAATAGCACTATTCCCACCCACCCCAAAGCCACTCACCTTTTTTTATGAAAGGCCCCCAAGGTGCCCTAAGCTGGTGCTCATTCTAGGTGTCTAACACGAGCCCCATCTGTTCCCCTTTCCTTTTGCTGTTCACCCTATTAACTTCCACCCCTTTCCCATGGGCTGCTGTTCTCCCATTACTCATCCTTTCCAGACTGACACCACCTTCTGTCTTTTGATGTGGTCTCTGAATTCAAGAATGCTGCAGATACTATTATTTCCACTTTACAGTTAAGTAAACTGAGCATCAGGCCATTCAGTTAGCATGCCTTGGTTCACAAAGTTAGTACAGGTAAAGGGTTTTTATCAATTAATGATTGAGAACTGACTTAATGTAATTTTTATTGAACATTTATATACAATTGACTAGTTGTGAAGGCCTCCATTCAGCTTTATCACCGCAATCAGCAAAGCAGGAGCATTTCCCTTAGGCAGCTGCGGGAGGATGCTTTGAGCCACAGGCAGGGTTTCTCTGCAGCTTCTCCTCCCCAAGAGGAAATCCCACACTGACGTAACCAGCCTCCCTCCCGTGGTGCAAGGCCAGCTGAGCCCTGCACTAGGGCATGAAGGCCGGGCCCTGCCCTGGCAGGATGCTTCATCCTGGTCTCCCCTTTGGTCCTGGTGCCTAAATGGCGTGCTGTTCCCTCTTCTCCACAGGATGACATTGCAGGACTTCAAAGCACATTTCATGCCTCTGGTCATCTGTAAACTGCTCCCAGGCTTGCTGAGTCAGGAGATGGGCCAGAAATGGGCTACACCATGGAGGCGGGGAGGGGGCAGAGGGACAGTGCCCCTGGTAGCTGGATGAAGGTGCCCGAAGTGAGCACCCGTGCAGCAGCTGGGGCTCTTGGGTCGAAATGGCCGCCTTTCTGGGAAGGGTGGGCATGTAGATGGTTGTGCAGCTCGCACCCAGCACGGGGGTGCAAAGGGTGGGGGTGAGGGTGCCTTGCAACTGAGCTGGGGGCTCTGGCCCTGGGCTGCATCTGAATCAGCACTAGAAGGTCACAGGCACTCATGCATGGACAAAGGACAGGTTAAGACTTTCCTTGGTTTTAGAATGAGGCCATTTATATGCTGAGGTGACCACCCTAAAGGCAGGATTGAAATAATAATTTTATTGTATGTGTCAGGCCCTCCTTCCCTAGAGCAGGTCATCAGTTACAGGAGACAAACATGTCTAAATTCTCAAAATGGAGAGGTTTGGTGACTGTCCCTTTCTCCGCGATGGAAGGAAAGACCTGTGGGGCATGACCTCAGTGGGCCAGGGCACCCTTAGCTCCAGCTTCCCCTCCTCCCACGGTATCCCCCCACCCCCCACTAAGCTGCTCTTAAGCTAAGGCTTGGTCACATTAAAGTCCAAATCCCCATTATGGACACATTCTTCTCATTTAGTTAATATAGTCACAGTAAACATTTATGGGGCACAAAGCCTGCGCTGGGTAGAGGGGCTATGGCAGTGAAAATAACTCTCAGTCCGTGTGGCCCTAGAAGAATCTGGGAAGGAGGAATGGGGTGGGAGGGGGAATAGAGTTGAGGCTGAGACCCCCAAGTCTGTCCATATGGAAGTCCAGGTGGGAATCCTGGGGCAGGTGCCCTGGGTCTGTGCTGTTCTCAGTGGTTTGGGGAGTGAGATGCTAGGGGAGCTGGGCACCCATCTTACTTGCTGCGTTCTGCTCCAGACACATTTTTGGGAGAACCTGCAGTTCTTGCTACCCATTTGGAGGCCCCAAGAAGGCAGGAGGTCCCTGGTGCCCTGCAGTGTGCTGGTGTCCCTGCTCCAGAAGCCCAGGCACAGGCCCTGCAACCAGAAGCCTCCCTTGCCATTGGCTTCTACCTTCTTGGGGTAGGTGGGCCTCACCCGGGGTCTCCAACTGCTAGTTATCCTTTCTTTCTGTTTCCTGTCCTCTGCACCTTCCATCTCTACCCAAAGACCTAGGTGCAAATCTAGGCTCTGTCCCTTAGATCAAACCACTTCCTTGCACCTGGGCATCAGTTCTTTATCTGGGTAATGAAGACAATGGTATTTATGCAAAAGGTGGAATAACAGAAGATCGTGTGGAGGGTGTTTGTCATTGTGCCTGTCACATACAATCAGTGTTGGTTTCCTTTTCCTTTCCCCAAACACCAAGGCAGCTGTCCTGTACCTTCTCCAGAGTTCCCAGTGGTGGATTAAAATGTCACTGACCAGGATAGCAAGTCTCAGGGGAGGGGAGGGCTCCCTGGGGAAGAGTCTTCTCCTCTGTGAGCCTCCATTAGCATTTGTGCTTCTCATAGAACTGGATTCACTGCCTAATGCAGTTTCTCTCTCTCTCTTTTTTTTTTTTTTTCAGATGAGCAAGGTGAGTCCCCACTTGACCAGCTGGCCTTCATTTGGAGTGATGTCATATGTGGCCAAGCCACCGTGAGATTCAGTTGGCCTGTAGCAACTGTATGCCACCTGCCCACATGTGTGGCAGGAAAGGGCACTTGCTATTCTTTTTATCCAGAGACCTCAGGAAATCCTGCTGCTGCGTCTGAGGAAGGTCTCTGAGTCTGGTGGAAAACCAATGAAGTTCAGAATTTATTAAATCCCTACATAAGTACTTAGGGCTAACATTGAAGACTGTCCCAGCATAGGAAGGATGATAAATCACAACCTTGCCTGACTTATGAAGCCCATAATAACATAGATCATAGCATATGGGGCATCAGGAGGCCATGTAGCCGACCTCTTTGGGGACAAGGGACAAAGCCTTGGGAAAAGGGACAGAAATACAGGTACTCTGTATGTCAACTATAGTGGCAATCTAGTGGGGTAAATCAAGAAGGTCTGAGGTAGCCCAGTCTCTGAAAGGTGGCAGCTATTATTTTATTACTCAAAAAAAAGTGGAGTGAAAAAGTTTTCCTCAGACTGGACTGAATCAAATCAAGTAAAAGGGTTTTTATAAAGGAACCACTTGGCTTTGGGTGTCTTGGATCAGTTTTGTTTTTTTCTCTCATGTGGGGACACTGAGTACTCCCAAAGTTACCTGTTAATCTAAAAATAAAAATGTATTCATATTGTGCCTATTTCTAAATAGAATTTGAGTCAGCCTACAATAAAATTGTAAACAGAACAAAATTATAAGCCATTAAAAAATTTTTTTTAGGTAATAGGTAACTTCTAAGGCATATGGGTTGTTCAGATGAAGGGGGGCTATTATCAACTAGCAGGCTCAGGCACCCCTACTGTGGGCAGGTGAGTCAATATACACACACCCCAGTCAAACTTATTATTTTGCTTTTGATTGTTTTGACATGGCAGCCCTTCAATGCTTAGAATCCATTTCTCATTTTTTTTCCATCATGTTTTGGCCATAGGTGGTTTGACTTGATTTCAGACCACACGGTCATGTCAGACTCTTGAGTCTTAACATATTTAAGTAAGAGTAGAGATGGGCAGGGGGAAGAGGGGCATGCAGGGCACAGGGCTTGGCATGAGCAAAGACATGGAGATGAGAAACCATTACAGGCAGTGTGCTGTGCCACACAGCCAGACCCGAGGGAGGAAGGGGGTGAGGCATGAGAGCTGGGCAGGTCCACGTGGCACAGCAGCTAAGGAACTTGGAGGGTGAGTTCCCAGGGGAGGGAGAATATGGGCTTAACTTTCCCAAGATGATTTCCAAGAAGCAAGTCTGTCTCTTGTTTTCTCTGAGTGAAACTGACACAGTCCAGTGTTGTCTTCTCTAAGGTAAGTGTCAGGTGGGATGCTGCATGGCTGGGACTGTTTACAAAGCCAGGGGGGTGGATCTCTCCCCTCACGTTCAGGGCTCAGTGGGGAGGTCTGCAGAGCTGTGGGCTTGACTCTATGACATGCATGTTACATTATCTATTGTGCCCTAAGAGGCCCCAGGTGCTGCTATTTTTACAGTGATAAAACTGCCCTCTGGTCACATCCTTGTCATTGAGGGCCCAAATGAGTTACACCCTTTCTTTTTCTGCTCCTTTCTGCCTTGTGTTCAAGCAAACTTATGGATGTTAGTGGCCTGGGAGCCCCAAGACATTAGTGTGCATGAGCATCCATTTCTCCAGGTGAACAACTGAGTCTATGCCTGTTTCTCTAGAAAACAGACCAAAATGAAGGGTAGGATGAATTCTTCACCCAACTCTTGGAAAAGGCAATGGACCAGGTGTGGTAGTGTGAGCAGTGGGCAGAGCAGGGGCCGAAGTGAGGCATCTCCTTCTGCGAAGGTGTGTTTGCATCTGCCTGACCCTGTGTGTAAACTGTGATTTAAGGCTGCCTATTCCCAAAATTGCCACTTTCTTTTCAAGTCCTCAAGCTTTTAGATGAATGAGTGGAGCTGTGATCCCAAGAGGACTCCTGTAAGATGTGTATCTGTTCTTGGAGGCTACACTGATTAGTCATAGGAGAAACAACTTTAATCTTTAATCCCCAAGAAAATGGGATATAGCAGAGCCGAGAATCAGTGCAGGGAGTATGGCAATGGGAAGCCCTGCAGGCCTGGGGACAGGCCATCTGAGAGAAGGCCAGGAAGAAAGACCCCTTGGGTGGTCATCTGGGGAGGGGAGGCAACTGGTGGAGGGCACTGCTGAGGAGGAGGGCCCGGGGCTACACACCTGTCCCCTTGAGCTCTTTCCTTGGGCTGACCTGGATCAGGAGGCCAGCAGTGTGAGTGCAGGGGCTGGGGGCCACTTTGTCCCTAAACTGCAATGAAATACATTCAGGAATAGGACAAGAAAGACACTGGAAATCTGGAGTTTGGCATCTGAGTGATCCTTAAAACTGTAAGAGCATGAGCTCCTTGTGTTAGTAACCCTTGGATTTAATTCACAAGTTGCCTACCCTGCTGCCTTCTTTCATATTCGCCCCCTAGTATTTCACTCAGTGTAGCTAGAGAGTACGTCAGAATCTTACATGTATTGTTTGTAAAATGTTTCCTCCACAGTAGGGCTTTCAAACATTTTCTACTGCAGTTATTTTATCAAATGAAATCGCATAGAGAAACCCAATATACATAAAATAGATAAAACTTGTACATTATGCATATGTATCTTTCATAAGTTCTAATTTATGATACTTGCATTTCATTAATATATTCTTACAGTTAAATGTAAAGAGTTGCTTCTGATGAACTCTAAAATTGAAATCTGGAGTCTCGTCTGAGGATGTCTCATTAAGATGAAACCAAATTGTTTGCTGAACTTCTGAAGCATTGTTATAGAACCCAGTTTGAGAATCGGTTAGACTCTCTGCTCTTTCATCTACTTTTAATTAAAATTTTTTGTTATTGAAGTATACTTAGTATAGAGTATTATTTTAGTGTCAGGTGTACAACATAACGATTCAAGACTATATATATACATAATGAAACTCTGACCACATTAAGTGTAGTCACCATATGTCACCACATAGAACTATTGCAATATTATTGACTATTTTCCCTATGGTGTACTTTCCATTCCTGTGACTTATTTATTTTATAATTGAAAGTTTATACCTATTTATCCCTTTCATCTATTTCATCTATCTCCTACCCTCTTCTCCTATGATCAGTTTGTTCTCTGTATCTATGAGTCTACTTCTGTTTGTTTATTTTTTAGATTGCACGTATAAGTGAAATCATATGGTATTTGTGTTTCTCTGTCTGACTAATTTCACTTAGTGTAATACCTTGTAGGTACATCCATGTTGTTGCAAATGGCAAGATTTCTTTCTTTTTTATGGCTGAGTAATATTCCATTGTATATATGTACCACATCTTCTTCATAAATTCATCTATGGACACAGGTTGCTTCCATACCTTGGCTATTATAAATAATACTGCAATAAAATAGGGATGCATATCTTTCTGAATTAATGTTTTTGTTTTCTTTGGGTAAATATACAGAAGTAGAATTACAGATCATATGGTATTTCTATTTTTGAACTTTTTGAGGAACTTCCATGCTGCTTTCTACAGTGTCTGCACCAGTTTACATTCCCACCAACAGTACATGAGTGTTCCACATCCTCAACAACTCCTGTTATTTCTTGTTTTTTTTTTGATACTTGCCATTCTGACTGGTGTGAGATAATATCTCATGCTGGTTTTGATTTGCATTTCCCTGATGATTGGTGATGTTGAGCATCTTTTCATTTGTCTGTTGGCCATCCCTATGTCTTCTTTGGGAAAATGTCCATCCAGGTCCTCTGCCCATTTTTTTATTGGGCTATTTGTGGGTTTTTTTGGTGTTGAGTTGTATGAGTTCTTTATATATTTTGGGTACTAGCCCATTATTGGCTATCTCATTTGCATATATACTCTCATTTATTAGTATAGTTTATAAGTTCCCTGCCCTGCAAAGGTGCTCTGAAGTTGGCACCCAGTTATAAGCCACTGTAAAAGTTCTTGTGAAATCCCAGATTTAATTACATGTTTAGTCACATTCCTGTGTGCAACATAACAGTGTCACTTCTTCTGCTCAGAAATGGCATAGTGCCATGCCTAGCAGATGCTGGAGAGGATGTTCCCAGCCTGCTGTAGCCGTGGCCCTTCTTCCTCAAATGGGTTCTTCGGTAATGATGATTTTCTCCTTCCACTCTGCTCTGCTTCAGTATCCAGAAATAAATGCAGTCCAACTGCAGAAGTTCCTGAACCACATGACCTGGCCAAGTGAGTATTTTCGTCATCCTGTCGGGCTCAAGGGACTCAGCTTTTCTAAATTTGGGTCTGTTCTCTTTCTCCTGGTGAGATGTGTGAGTTACTGGGGCTGTTCCCCAAGAATCTGTGTCCTGCACCAGGGTGGGCCATGTGGTCTGACAAAGCAGTTGAGGAATTTACACAGGTTAGAAAATAGCTCTTTTTTTTTGCTTAATTTGGGTATGTAGAGATATATGTTAATGGAAATGAAGATTTCTGCTATTTTACTAGTGTAAGAAGAACAGGTGAGCACTTCTTTCTTGGCATATAAATTCCATGTGGAAGAACTGCATCCATTTCCTCAACCTGGCAAGTAAATATTAAGGAATGACTATCCTATGGGGGAGCTTTCTGATGATTTCATATTAAACTGATCAGCCTATAAAAATCTGGAAGGAGGGAGCACATCACCCAGGGAGACTGCAAGTGAGTAGCATGGATGCCTTCATAGGAAGCATGGGGTAAATTATTAGGAAAACTTTAAGTCCAAAAAAATTTATATGTATATTTCAAGTGAGAAGAATATTTCTCCAGAGAGGAGAACAAACTTCAAAATGAAAAAATTAAACCAAACAATTAAAGGGTATTTGCTGCCTAAAATATGTGATTAATTCTCCTTTATATGAAGCCAAGACTTCAAATCCAAATAAATTACAGTCCAGTGTATTGTATAACTCAGGGCTTGAAGTAATTTTTGGATGGTTTCTTGAAGCCACATTTGGGTATCATATAAAATCCAGAAGGAGAGACTTTAGACTAATTATAGAATGTAAGAAAACCCCTACCCCCTGAAAAAAACTCTAGGGAAACTATCTAGAAGAGATGGCTTACGCACATTTGGAATGTTCTAAATGCCTTGATCATGAGTATGCAAAAGAATGTATGGCTAGATTGTTTTCACTGGGTCCTGTGAGGGAGTTTCTGGATTGATAGAACTACTATTGATTTTAGCCAAGCATTTGGGAAAGTATCCCATGAAAAATGGTGATATGTGCACTGAAAAGTAGCAATATGAGATGTATTTGTAAGTCTTACCACCATTCCCTAGTCATATAAATATAAAGCCAGAAGGATAATTCTGTTACAGATGAGATTCTTTTGGTCCCCTTCACTTCCTTGGCTTTTATCAATGATTAAGAAGAACACATGGAATGTAAGCTTATCAGACCTGCAGATGGCACAAAGCTGGGAGGAATCATTAATATAATTGACAGCAGAATTGAAATTCAGAATGTTCACAGCAAGCTATGCCCAGACCAAAAAGATGAAACAGGTCAGATAAGCTGCCTTTTCATTATTTAAAAAAAATTGGTTACACAAGTTCCCAAAAGAAGAGACCCGTTTTTGTGGCAGTTTATGTGAAAGATATCTGTTTAATTTAGTTGACGTAGAGCTTAACATGAGCTCACAGTTTCAAGTTGCTGCTCAATAAGCTAATCCAAGTCCAGTCTGTGTTTAATAGAAACATTTAGTTTTGTGTTTTTGAAATTGTATTCCAAGCAACAGTAGAGACTAAGAGGTTTTAGTAAGTGTTCCATGAAATAAAAAGGTCACATTCTATGGTCAATTGTGCTTGGGAAACTCGGTGTTAAGAAAAATTCTACTCCTTAGTATCTGTCCTATGCTAAAATGCATGGAGAATGGAGAAAAGGGACTCAAGATACAAAGCATTTCAAATTTATTTGAACTCAAAACCCATTTGCTGCAGAAAATCTCCCTTGGAACATAATTTGGGAAATGCAGCCTGAAATTTTTGGAAGTGATTGACCCATTGTACTCTGCTTAATCAAATTGTATCTGACGGAGTGCATTCCAGTCTCAGTTTCCACATTTTAGAGGGATGCTGGACAGAATAGGTCGAGAAGGAGGTGCTGAGGGTTTAGAAATTGTGTTTGGCATCGGGGGAGGTGTCACAATAGAGACATATGCCTCTTTGTGCTTCCCTGGAGGCAGAACTTGGACTAGTGACTGAACTTTACAGGAGGCTCCTTGGGAGTTAACGTAGGTTTCTGCTGACCAAAACTATCCACCCGTGTGAAAACGTGAGCACCCATTATGCAAGACCGTCTGTCAAATATCTGCCAATTTGGGCAGAGCTTGAACGAGCTGATCTCAGATCTCCATTCAGGTTTGATGGTCTGGTACTCTGAGAGATGCCTGTGTCCTAGGCACCCAGCCATGTTCATCTGATCCTTTGTATAAGCAAAGCCAGGCTGTAATCAGGTATTCTCTACAGGCTTTACTGTGCTCCTTGGGTGTAGGAATCGTGACCAAGACTTCTCTCTCTCTACCGTCCTGCGTTCTCATTCTCCCCCAACCACACACACACACACACACACACACACACACTTTTCTGTTTCACTGCAGTTCCGGGGGGTGCACAGCCTCTCTTCAGCCTGGATACCTGCGGGAGGATCCGGGCCCGGCTGGATGTATCTTTTCAGGTCTGCGTGAGGATGCCGGCTGCCGGAGGAGATCTTGGCTCTGAGCCAGGCTGCGTGGGTTTTGGTCCCAGCCCCAGCACGCACTGGGTGTGTGGCCCCAGACAAGCCACTCAGCCGCCTTGTGCCTCCAAGGCTCATGGGCAGCACGGAGACAGTATCAAACCTGCTCTGTAGGGTGGGTGTAAGAACACAAATGGGAGAACCCAGCTAAAGAGATTAGGACAAAAACTGCCATCAGTGATCGGTATTAGATATTAATAACAATAATCCTACTTCCTGATGGTGGGGATAGGCAGCTGCCGGGCAGTGATTAGTAACAATTCTCCAGGGTACAAGAAGCTTTTACAAGGGTCTCAGGGTCCTCAGCTTTACATTCAGTGATGGGGCAGTGGTGGCCCAAGTGTACGGATCAGGAAAGTAGACCTCAGAAAGTTAGTTAATGACATGCCACAACTCACCTTGCCTGGTTCTTGACCCTGCAATTTTTCTAGCAAAACCTCTGCCTTTCTAAGTGAACCATTTAATCAAAGTTTGATTATCTATACAACAGGGGGCACATAGAATGAATAGTGTGAGGGGCCTGCAAATACAAAAATGGTCTTTGCAGAAACTTTGCAGAGGGTCTGGGTGGCCTGGGATGGTGGTCAGGTGTACAGGCATTGAAGAGGTCCCAGCCTTGTCACCAGTTGTATGAGCTTGCGCACGATCATACTCTTTGAGCCCTTGTTTCACCATCCATAAGAGATAGGGTAACACCTACCTGACCTACAAGGTGAGAATGGAGTACCATAGGTCAAGTGTGTAACTCAGTGCTAGACTGACTGTAAGGGCTCAAGTAGAACATGGTGAGTGCTGGCATTTTGACCCAGTCTCTCTGATGCAGTGGTGTTTGGACATGAGCTACAAGGCCAACCATTAAGCTTTTAACTTCTCATGAAATGACTAAATATAAGAGGCATCCTTAGCCACCCTGTGTCTGACTCCCTCCAGAAACTTGTCTTTACAATAATGAAAAAAAAAAAGGGTTGCTGCTTTTGATTTAAGTCACCTGAAATTGGCCATGTCAGAGTATCCTGCTTCACCTGATGGTGGCTGTTGTCATTGCCATCACTGCTGGCAGCACTTGCTCCAGGGCCACTGTGTTCTGGCTCATTCCCCTTTCCTAGCAAGGGCGAGGGAGCCCTGTGCCCGATTGGCCAGCCAGGGGAGGCCACCTAGGGACATCAGACATAGAATAGGGCTGTCCACAAATTGCACACCACCACATGGAGAGCCAGTCACTGCTGTCAGAGGTGTGGATGAAACTTCCATGGTGGCTTTGACCTTAATCCTCCTATCAGCTTCATTCATCGCATACCCTGAGCATCCTGGATTTCAAGGACCCGTAGAGGCAGTTGATGCTCTATCAGGTAAGAACAAGTCTTAGCCACACCTCCTTGCAGGATGGTGCAGAAATGGCCATTCTGCAAAGCTACACAAGCTGCTTCTCTCCCTTTCAGCCCTTTACATCCAGCCATTCACCCCGCCTTCTCCAATCTCCCTTCAGTGAGTCCTCCTTCTCTCTCTCCCAAGCCCAGAGAGCCCGTTGCCACAGCCTCCTGAATTTCTAAAGCACACATCTGCTCACGTCGCTTCCTTACTAAAAGCTTTTTGAGACTCCCCATGGTCTTCAGATAAAGTCCAAACCTCTTAGTGTGGCATTTACAGTTCATATATCGGATCCTTTCTACTCTTCCGATCATTGCTCACAATTCTCCATGTCTCCTGAGTCATAAAGTTGGAAGCCTTTCAAAGTTTGCATCATGTGCTTAAATTAAGCACATTTTCCCATACCCAGACTGTCTAGGCTCCATAACAGAAAGACTGCTCCTTTTCTCAGAAGCCTTAATAAGAAATGGGAGAGGTAGTCAGATCCTGGAGTGGACCATCCGCCGAGTTCCTGTCCTGGCAGCAAACCCTGCTGGTTGGATTCTCACACCTGCCAGCAGCGCTCTGCACGACGGACACAGACACGGAGGGGCTGTCAGGTGGTGCTTGGGAATGCCTGGCTTTCTCAGCCTGTGGTGTGGGTTCTCCACAGGAGGTGTTCCATAAGCAGGACAGTAGCCAGTCAGGATACCTGAACAGGACCCAGCTGTGGGCTGCCGTGGGGGATGCAGGTAAGCTCGGAGGAGCAGGTGCTGGAGGACCCACACTCACCAGTCAGGGAGGGGAGGGGAGGTGTGAATTCTGAAGTAATTGTAATGTACAAAGTTACTCCCCAAGTTCAGAGGCCCAAAGATGTGGATCTGCAAATAACAGAAACATTTATTGTTATTATGACTATGATTGTAGCTATCATAACCGAGATGGAATACCCAGGTACTTATTTAATCTTCATCAGCACCCTGTTATAATCCACTCTTTACGGAGGAAGAAATAAGAGCTCAGAGAAGTCAGGTGACTTTCCTGGAGTTTAAATCCAGAACTGCTGGGCTGAAAAGCAGATGCTCTGGACCACTAAGCACACTGCCTCCTGCCTGGAAGGCCAGTGACTCACCTGATAAAAGAGTTTTCATGCTGGTTGCCTAAAGAGGCAGGAATGGGGAGTGGAGATAAAATCAGTGGACTAAATGATTAAACAATTCATAATGAACCCATGAAGGAAGAGCCCCATGTCCTGGAAGTGGAGGGACAATATAAGGGGCCCCAGGTGGCAGGGGAGCTGGACATGAGGCCCAGCCCCTACAGCAGGAACCTGTGTTCCATGCCGGAGTCCTGCTCAGAGATGACACCTGCCAGCTGATGCTTATCTGCTATGGCGGCCCCAACCTCTGGAAGGACTTGGTCAGCTTTGTGCACTAGGTGCTGAGTGTGGAGAGCAGGGAGGGTGAGCTGCTGGGCAGAAGGAAGAGCCAGGGCTCCCTCTGCACTCTTCGTGGACTGCCTGCCTGTCCCCGTTCACAGCGGCCAGAGCAGAAACAGCAGCCCAGAGAGTGATGGGGATGCTGGCTCTGGGCCTATGAGCAGGGCTGCATCTACCCAAACCAGTTTATGTCCTGCCTGTCCCAGATGCAAATGTTTGAGGCAGCTCACTTGTAAGCGTGGCTGCATTTGGCTTCACAGAGGCTGAAATCGGGTTCCTAAGGTCAGGGGATATATGGGGGCAACTAGTTCACAAGGTTTCCAAAACACATCAGCTGTGATCCTTTATGCTGTGTTTCACAGATGTCTTCCAAAATTAACCCAAGATGGCAAAGATATCTACCTCCAGAAGCCAGAGGTAAGCCTTTCCCCATGGGGTTGCCTCACATCATTTTAGGTAGGTATGGCCACTACAGGTCCAGGCCCGTGTGAAGGAGAAAGGCTCTGGGGACCTTTCATTCTACTGAGTTTGGGATGTAGCACTGCATTCATTGCATTCATTCATCAAACATTTACTGAGCACCCACGTATAAAGGGAACGGGAGACTGACTCAGTGTACCTAGTGCCTGTGACTGCAATAATGCCTTGTGACACAACTTCAGTAGTGACAACAGCACCATTTTATTTAGTTCCCCAGCCACATGGCTGGGAGTCAGTGGGTTTGGCTGGCTGGCTTGTGGTCTGTGGGTGAGCTGGATGCTTTGCTGGGGTCCCTTCACTGAGGAATCTCTGGCCAGGTTTGCCCTTCTCAGGAAAATGGCAGAAGCACAGGGGAGGAAGCTTAAACACCCAAGGCCTCCAAGCCTGAGCACACCATGCCTTACAACTCATTCTGTCATCCAAAGCAAGTCACATGGCCAAACCCATGGGGGAAGAGCCTCCTCCTCTGTCATGAAAGGGACTTCAAAGTCACTTGCAGAGGGCGTGGACACAGAGTGGTGAAGAGCTGGGCCAGCAATGAACTCCAGCACAGAGAGTAATAGGAGAGCTGCTCTAGATAGGGTGCTCCACACAGGCCGTTCTGGAGGAGGTGACTGCAGTTGAAACCTCAAAGAGAAGAAGGAGCCAGGCAGGCAGAGTGGGGTGCAGGGAAGGCTGAGGCTAGGCTAGAGGGAACAATGCATGCAATCCTGGCTAGAGTATAGACAATGATGAAATTTGCTCAAGCTGAGTCTGAAAAGGTCAGGGTCCAATCAGAGGCCAGAAGTAAGCTTCATTTCAAGAGCTGACCTAGCCTTCCCCATATGGGCAGGGATTCTAGCCTTGTCTGTGTGCCCTCTTCCAGAATCTCATACAGCACTTTGCCTGTAGTGGGTGCTTGACAAGTGCATGTTGAGAGAATGAAGTGCTATGCCAAGGAGAAGGCAAATCTGTATCTGATGCTGATTGTCTTCTCTGATCATTCAGACTGCACGGATTTACTGAGTACCTGTTAGGTGCCGGACATGGTGCTAGGTGGTATTCTCTGAAAGACACTGGAGTCTGGAGTGAAATCATCTGCTCTTTCTTTGTAAAACACATCCTCTGTTAGGGCTGCTTAGAACGGGCCTAGCAAAAGCTGGGGTTTCTTCCTTGACCTCAAATGTCTATTACATGGGATATCTTTCTAAGCTATAGGGTCCCTCAGCATGTGTCTCCCCTCAGTCACTCCTGTATTTGAGTGTGAAGGTGGAATTCAGCAGGAGGGGCAATGGTTAGAACCTTCTGAGCCCATCCTCGTCTCAGACCCCCAAACTCCTCTCCTGATCCCAAGAAATCCTTGCATAATGCAGGCTCAGAGGAGAGCAGGGCAGCATGAGTGGGCTGTGAAGCAGGATGGCCCACAGCCTGAGCAGGCTCCCACAATGCAACACACTCTTGTGGGAAGAGAACTGCACTGTGCGACCACAGGCAAATCACATTAAATCTCTGGGCCTCAGCTTCCCTACAGTGAAATGAGTTACCCAGCGCCGACCATCTCCGGTTCCATGAGGAAGAGATCCTCGGGCCCATCCAAAGAGGTCTGCAGGGAGTGTCAGCTAACCTGTTGGAATTTCACTCTGAGGTTTTCTGACTCCATTGGTAGCCTCACCATTATCACCTTCATCATCACCGTCATCAGTAGCATCGTTCTGATGGAACTGTCCTGGGGAGTGGTTTCTCCCTGTGTGAGTTAGAGGGACTGTTCATCACGCCCACATAAAGACGCCAGACAAATGGGTTCATAAATGTAAACATGTAGAATGTGCTGTAATGGATTTCTGCTACTCAGTCCGCACACCTGCACACTGCTGCCATGAGCTTGCCAGACTGAATTCATGGCAAAAAATTGCCCTGAGAATTGAATACAGAATCAGCCTGTATCTTGGCTATCATCATTCACAGGCACCACGAGAAGTCAAGGTTGATTTATATTTCAGGTAGATTTATACTTAATACCACATGGTGTGGTCCCTCTGGCTAAACCATCCATTAATGTCCTGTCTCCAGGACTCCTCCAGAGTGAGGGGACGAGGCCCTGAGTCCTGTGTCAGGCTCTGGAACTTGGTGACTGGGAAATGAGGCACCCTTAACTGAATGTCACAAGGGGCTTTGAACAGACCATAATCTGCTCCCCATTGTGTTCAGTGGCTGATGATAACTCTGTGCTCCTGGGCCTTGCCTGCTGTCCCTGAGGATGCCTCATGTGGTCCAGAGGTAGCCATTGGTGAGACTCCACCCATGACCTGCTCTTCAGGACTGTGCCTCCTGTCACCACCTCAGCCGGGAAGATCTCTCTTCTGCAGGGCTTCCCTTTGGATGGCCAGCAAGTAAAAAGGGAAGTCAGGTAGCAATGACCACCTTGGGTTTGTAAAGACCAGCTGTCCTTCTTTGTGGCCAGAACCTTGTCACAAGCAGAAATGTTCTCTGATGTGGCCTAAGCAATCTAATTCCAGAGTTGCTATCTTAACCTCTGTACGATACTGCCTGCATGGCTGTCCAGTTTTAATAACCTTAGATGTGCAAAGTTTCACCACATTTGGGGTAAGAGTCTGGGTTGCAAGATATAAAGGGGGAATGATACGTCTTTAAAGGTGTGCCAGCATCTATACACTGTGGGAGGCATAGGCTAAATTTCAAATGTTTGAGGGTGGGGTGGGGAATATGTTGATCTTTCAAGAACACAGAAGGTAAGCAAATTGGCAGAGCCCAGGTGGGGTGGGCTGGCACTGGCATCGAGGTCTCTGAGTGGTCTTCTGCTGACAGTAGCTCCAGATGATTGGATGGGGGAGAGGGACTAATGGATTTAAAACATCTGAGTTCTCAGTCCAGAAGCCCTCTGTGTACCTACTTCAAATAAGAACAACAAATCCATGCTATATTGTAAAGTTAATCAGAGGAAAGTTGGTATTACCTGATTTTTTGAACTACTGTGTTACTTCACTTTTGTGGCATCCCGCCCTGCCACCCCAGAACCCAGGTAGAAAGGCAAAATAAGGCCAGTTCCCAAAGCTCATGCATTTTGCTTATAGGTTAACAATTCAGAACCATTCGTTGAAATTCTGTTTATTCTTAATTTACAAACTGTTTTCCAAATCCATAGAAAACTAAAGGAGGGAGCTGAATGGTGGGATAAAAGGGGTAGAAGTAAAGAAAATTTATAAGGCATGTAGGAGAAGGAGGAGTTGTCTCAAAGCATGGCTTAAGGACATAGAGAAGTATTTTATGTAGAAAAAACTTCTGGCTAATATAAATGAAGTGTATTACAAATAAGATGTAAAATGGTTTGAAACAAAGTTCCAGATACATGTGGTATTACCCATTTATAAATGATGATCATGTATTTATAGTTTTTAAAAAATTTTTGTCTGTTTACTTATTAGTATCTCTGTCTTCAAATTCTGCCATTGTAAATATTTGATTTTATTAAATAGTTATTGCTTTGGTCCATGAAGGCAATTCTGGCGGTATCTCGGGTGGTGGGAATGTGGTACCATTACCCTGTTCATGCTTGTGTGGTGGTTTGGCTTGGTGTACAGGGAATCTAGAGTGAAATTAATTAAGTCAGATAAGGTATCTCCTCTAGCTTCTCGGTACTCTAAACTGCCTCCTGTGTCACTCATGTGTTACCCTCCCTCACCTGAGTCTGTGTATCACCATGGCAACTCAGAGATGCCCTGTACCCTGATGAGACCATCCCACCCAATTCTCTCCCATACCCAAAGCTGAGTACTGGAGATCAAGGCCAGAACTATTTCTCCACTCAAATATCCCCTTCCCACCTTCTGTCACTCCAGGACATGGGAGGCAAGTCAAGATCTGGGACAGGATGTACTGAACAAAGGTCAGGATGAAGTCAAGCTGAAGATCTGAGAGGTGGACAGCGATTCCTGGGAGTTGAAAGCCACAGTTTATCTTGACCAGGGCAAATGGAATGTGGGACTACTGGACATCGAGCAGAGAAGGAGCAAGGAATCAGCCTTCAGGTGCCAAGACAGGGGAGATCAGAGAGCCCAGAAGGTTGGATTGTCCACAAGTCCCACCTAAGGAGGCCAAGCAAACCAGGTGAGCACCTTGCTAAGCTTTCAAAATCTCAGGGGGAAAAAAAGGGACTTTGGTAAAAGAAAAGGACAATACAAGAGGGGACTGAAATATTATCTTTCCTTTATCCCTTTTCTCTTTCCCTTCTCTCATGCTGTGTATAAAAACTCAGTCAACAAATAGAGCCTTCCAGATTCCAGTTGGGGCCTGGGGCGGGGCAGGCAGCAGCAACTGGAAATAGCACACTGATTTAGAGAAATGATTTTAGCCTCCAGGATTTTCAGTCTGATATTTCCCCACTGAAATATATGTATTTATATTTATAATGTAAAAAAAGGATGATATTAGTTTCGTGGGTCATGGGTAGGTAAAAGTGGGCCAGTGGGCCTGACTTTGCGGGGGAGCAAGCTGTGTGTCCAGCTCTTGGGGAGCTCTGGGAAGATGGCCATTGAGGGTTGTGACCCCTGTCCTGAGTTACCATGTCTTTTTTAGCGCTCTGAGGACAGAGGTGGTACAAATCCAACAGGAATGAAAGCGAGGCAAGGTTGGGAAGGAACATTCTAGCTGTGTGACATTGGACCTCAGTTTACTTATTTATAACATGGAGCCCAGAATGTCCACATTACTGGGTCATTATGGATATTAAATAATGCTAGCATGTTACAGGCACCCAATAAATAAAGCTCCTCTTTTATCCTTGAACAGTTTACAACTAGTATTATTTATATACATTTTTGTTTTTAAAGAACACAGTGACTCATAGTGACAGCTCTTCTGAAACACCCAAGGGTTCACACTCCATTTCTCCTTTTCCCCTCTTGCTCCACATCTCTCTGACCAAATCTAGCCATTTCTTTGAAGTGTGGTCTCTGGAGTACTGCTCCAACGTCAGGGACTCAGCTCCGGGACCTCAGAGAAGGTGCCCATTTCATTATTAAAGCCCTGCCCCTTGCTTGCCTCAAACCCTAGAGGCAGAGGAAATTTACTTATCAGAGCCCAAGCTGTCAAATAGGAGTTTTCTGGACCACAGACCAAGCAACTTCTGAAGACTGCATCCTGTCCAGCAGTTGTTCCAGAAACTCTGCTCTGCAACTCAGATGTGACCTGGAGCTGACCTGACACTAACAGTGGGAAGGCATGGGAGTTGCACAGTCTAGAACACATACTCTCTCCATTAGACCTCAGTCCTTGCTGTGGCGCTCTGTTTGGATCAGCTCGGCTGGCCAGCACATGGTGCTCCAGAGGCCCTGCATGGTGAGGCCAGTTGGGCAGTGAGCTTTCATCTCATCCACCTGCCCATTCATCCAGTGTGAAAACATTTCCCCATCCAGTGAAAGACACGTGTCAGCCTTCTACAATGGGTCAGGCACCATGCTCAGCACTGGGAACATGGAGTCACAGTGGCTTACTGGGATAACAGATGACTGGCAGGTGGCCTAGCACTGTGGTGAGGATGCAGAGAGCACTGTGAAGACCCAGGGAAGAGGTGTCCAGCCCAACCTGAGAGGGCTGGGGGAGGAAGCTTCTTGGGAGATGATGCTGAGCCATCTTACAGGAAAGAAGCACTTGGCAAGAAAATACAGGGAGAACAGCAAAGTTCCAGGACGACTGTGCTGCACATAGGGAAACGATGCAGAAGTGAGGAATGGAACTGTGTGTTTGGGAAATAGCCCTGCAGGCTCTGTCATGGTGTCCAGCTCCTCGCCTGGGGGCCGAGGCTTCCCCCAAGGACTGCACAGCTGCTCATCAGTCACTCAAGCCCTTCCTCTGCGCCAAAGCTAGGATGTCAGCAGGCTGCAGACAATGACCTTGGAATCAGAACCTTCAAATCCTGCCTTAGTTTAGGGGAACTTGGTGTAATTTCTTCATTTTCTGAATCTCTACAGCCTCATCAGTAAAATGGTAAGAACAATACTTCCCTCATAGGGTGACTCTCGTAAGTGACATACCAGAGGTTCTGGCACTTGGCAATGCACTTGAAAAACGTGCATTTTCTACCTGATTTAATCTGACTTTTAACCTGATAACCTGATTTCCCTGGAGGAGCAGGTGTGGCATGTACTGAAGCTGCGCTAGCACTAGATGGCGCTCTGTCCCCGTGCTCGGGCTCCTTCAGGGTGCAGGACGATGCGGGACCGCAGGCAACAGCTTCAGCCCTGAGGCTGATTTAGTGCCGGGTCAGCCTGATTCAGCTCAGAAGGCTGGCTTTAGCCCCTCATGGACTCACTTTCCTTGTCATGTCTCTTTCTTTCTGCCTAGTTTTAAATTGATGCACTGTACTTTAAACAGCTTATTCTTTTCTGAAAAAAGCAAACTACATTTTTAAGCCCTCGTTGTAAACCTGTCTCCTTGAGGGATACAGTGCCCCCACCTGCTCACTCTGGAGCCCCAGTGCCTAGCTTAGTGCCTAGCTCACATTTAGGATTTACTGGATGAATGAACCATTTTTGAAGCCGTTCATTCATTCATTCTCCATCTCTTGACACTCCAGGGACATGGGCACCCTTTTCCCTGATACTTTCAGAATTCATCGTCCCAGAAGGATTAACCAGCTGGGCCCAGTTCCAGCGCCTTTAGGTTTCAGGTTGAAGTGGCAGAGGAAGCTCTGTGGGCATTCGGGAGGAGGCCTGCTTGGTGAGCCCTCATCTCCAGTCTAAGCCTCAGCTTGCCCAGCGTCTCCTGCCTGCAGAAGGCAATGAGGCCAGAAGTCCTGCAGCCCCCACTCTCCCTGGGGGTGGGGTTGGAGGGTGGAAGGAGCAGGCCTGACCTTTCAGGGGGTCTGTGCGTCTTTTGTTTTCCTGAAAAGCTGTCCATACGCCTTAGATGGGTTCCCTAACTTCTCAATTCAACTGTTTAAAAATTATGTCTGCAGTTGGAGGAGATTGAATTGTATAACTTCTAAATCTTAAATCTGCCTCTGGCTGGAGATAACAAATTTGCCAAGAGCACAGGCTGGCCTTAGAAAGGATGCCAGCTTGAGTCCAGCTCCGCTGCTCACTGGTGTAGGCTACCTTTGGCAAGTCACCAATGTTCACTCCTGT